CCTCCCACTCTATCTGAAGAGAAATAGAAAAATATACTCAGGTGAGGATAAAAAAAAAGTGCAATAATGAATTTTATACACATGCGTGCACGCCTTTCTTTTCTTCCAAGTTTTCCATATAATAAGACAATAAATTACAGGTGTTTGGATTTCAGACTGAAATTTTCATTTCTTCATTGGGGCACCTAAATAGGTTGTCAAACTTACTTTGCTTAGGGAGACATTTTTTTAATGCCATCTATTGTGTTAAAAACTTACTCTTAACAACTACAGAATCAGACAGTAGGTATATTTAAGATTCACTACAATTCTTTCCACTTTTCTGTTTGAAAGTTTTCATGATGAAATGTTAGTTAAAAGTATAATCAGGGCCCTGGCCACTTTGGCTCAGTGGTTAAGAGCTTCAGCCCGCAGACCAGAGAGGACAGGTTCAGTTCCCACTAAGGGCACATACCTCAGTTGCAGTTTGTCCCTGGCCTGCCTGGTTGAGGTCATGTGGGTGGCAGTCACTCAATGTGTCTCTCTCACTTTGATGTTTCTCTCTCTCTTTCTTCCTCCCTCTCTATCTAAAGATGAATGCAAAAATGTCCTCAGGTGAGGATAAAAAAGTATAATCAGGCCCTGGCTTGCTCAGTGGTTAGAGCGTAGGCTCAAGGACCAAAGAGACTTTAGTTTAATTCTTGGTCAAGGGCACATACCTGGGTTTCGGGTTCAATCCCTGGCCCCAGTTGGGGTCATGCAGGAGGCAACCAATCAATGTGACATATCAATGTTTCTCTCTCTCCCTCTCTCCATCTCTCCTTCCCTCCCAAAAAGAAAAAGAAAAAAGTATAATCAGCCCTGGGCGGTTTGGCTCAGAAGTTGCAGCATCAGCCCTCGGATCAAAAGGTCGAGGGTTCAATTCCCAGTCAAGAGTATGTGCCTGGGTTACAAGTTCAATCCCTGGTCCCTGGCCTGGTTGAAGTCATGCAGGAGGCAACCAATCAATGTGTTTCTCTGACGTTGATGTATCTCTCTCTCTCTCTCCTCTTCCTCTCTCCCTTTCACTCTTATCTAGAATTAATGAAAAAATATCCTTGGGTGAGGATTAACAACACAAAACATATAATCACTATCATTTTTTAAGTGTCATATGCATAGTAGAAATCACACACTCCCAGAATTTTCAAATGGACAAATTTGTTTGGGGTTCTGGCCAGTTTGGCTCAGTGGTTGGAGCATCGGCCCGTGATCCAGAGAGGCCCGGGTTCGGTTCCCGCTAAGGGCACATACCTTGGTTGCAGTTTGTCCTCGGCCCTGATTGGGGTTGTGTGGGTGGCAACCACTCAATGTGTCTCTCACACGTCGATGTTTCTCTCTCTCTCTCTCTCTCTCTCCCGCCCGCCCTCCTCTCTCTCAACATAAATGCAAAAAAAACCTGTCCTCAGGTGAGGATAAAAAAATAAAAAATTAGTTTGGGGAAAACACCTACTTGCCCTGTTTTTTGCCTTTTTCATATCTTTGCAGACAGGTGCAAATCTCATGGCCTCTCCCTAAACAAGGCCAGGAGGTACACTGATACTGGCCCTCAAACAGACTGAGGCCTGATTTTTTTTTTTTCTTTATTGATTTTAGAAAGGGAAAGATAGAAACATTGATGAGAGAGAACATTGAATGGCCGCCCTGCATGCCCCCCACTGGGGATTTGGCCCACAACCTGGGCATGTGACCTGACCAGGAATTGATTCGAACCAGCGACCTCTTGGTGCATGCATGGGTTGATGCTCAACCACGGAACCACATCAGCCGGGCCTGATTGTTTTTTACATACTTGGTCTTCACCTTCTCCAATGGGCAAGGTGTGGAGCAGGAGAAATATCTCAAACTTTTCAGACTCCACTAGTGCTTCCAGGTGTCTGATGAATAAAAAAGACATGGATGGAAAGATACATCCTCCTATGCTTAAAAAAAATACACATGCACCCCGGCCAGTTTGGTTCAGCAGTTAGGGCGTTGGCCTGCAGACCCGAGTCACAGGTTTGATTCCAGTCAAGGGCACATACTTCGGTTGTGGTTCGTCCCTGGTCCTGGTCAGGGTTGTGTGGGAGGCACCAGTCGATGTATCTCTCTCACATCAATGTCTCCCCCGCCCCCACCCTATCTGATGATAAATAGAAAAATATCCTCGGGTGAGGGTTAAAAAAAAAATACCAATGGGGGAGGAATTCTAACATTTCAAAACTTCAAGCACATCACTAGACACATGTAGCATGTTTCACATTTATGAGCACAGACACAAATATGCAAACACCAGACCATAGCACACATGCTCATTTACTAAGGTGCTAGACAAAGTGGCTACTTAATAAGTGAACTGAAATCAATAGAAAACTGAACACAAGGCAGAACATACAGCACTGTTCCAATTGTTATTTAAGTTTACATATAAAACAAATATATAAATATACATGTGCCTCACCTGCAAAACGACTAAGTCAAAACTATCAGAGAGCTGTTCTGAGGTTGATTATTACAGTGCTGACACATATACATGTACAAAGAAAGCTTGAAAATGGTAACCCTCTGGTTGGCAGGATTATGTATTTTGACTTTTTCTTCATGTAGTCCAAATGTTCTAAAGAGATTGTGTATTAATTTTATAACCTGGGATGAAGAAGAAAATTTTACTTTAAAAAGTCAACCAGATGAGTCGAAAATATGGTCCATCTACAGAATATTACTCAGCCATAAAAATGAATGAAGCTCTGACCCTTGATATGTGAATGAACCTTGAAAACAAGAGACCACAAAAGACCCAAGTATTTCATGATTCCATTCATATGAAATGTCCAGAACAGGCAAATCCAGAGTGAATTTGTGGTTGTGGGGCTGGGGTGGGATTGTTTTTGGGTGATGAGAACCTTCTGGAACTACATATTGGTGATGGATGCACAATTCTGTGAACATGCTACAAACCACTAAACTGTACACTTTAAATGGATGAACTTTATGGCAACATGAAATACATTTCAATGAAGACATTAAAAAAAATTTTTTTTAATCTACCAGAAAAAAAATGTGCCTAATATTGTGATTATTTCTAGAGTGGTTCCACAAATATACTTTTTTTGGTTTCACTTTCTTTGTTGTTAATCCTCACCTCATATTTTTTCCATTGATTTTTAGAGAAAGTGGAAAGAAGGTGGGAGAGAGTGAGAGAGAGAGATTGATTGATTGCCTCCCACATAGGATTAACCTGCAACCCAGGTTCATGCCTTTGACCAGGAATCGAACTTCGACCCTTTGGTACGTGGGTGATGCTCTAACCAATGAGCACACCAGCCAGGGCTTGCTAATTTTTAACAATGACATTGTTAACTTTGAAAATGAGAAAAACTCACCAAAATTCCACAATCTTGATAATGAACCCACCTCAGTGTGTTCTGTTCCCATGTAGGGCCCACCCAGGGACACAATGTGGACTTTCTTCCATTCCTCTTTGTTAACTATCTTTCCTGTTGTTTTTTTTCCTTTATTGATTTTAGAGAGAAAGGGAGAGGGAGAGATACAAACATTGATAAGAGAGAATATCAATTGGCCACCTCCTGCATGCCCCCTACTGGGGATTTGGCCCACAACCTGGGTATGTACCCTGACCGGGAATCAAACTGGCGACCTCTTGGTGCATGGGTTGATGCTCAACCATTGAGGCACACCGGCCCGGGCTATCTTCCCTGTTTTTATTTCATATCCACACACGACATATTTTTGACATATAATTTATATACTGTACAAGTCACCCATTCGAAGTGTACATTCAATAAACTATAGTGTATCGCCCTGGCCGGTTTGGCTCAGCAGTTAGAGCGTCGGCCTGCGGTCCGGAGAGACCCGGGTTCGGTTCCCGCTAAGGGCACGTACTTCGGTTGCAGTTTGTCCCCGGCCCTGGTTGGTCGTGCGGGTGGCAGCCACTCGATGTGTCCCTTCACGTCTATGTTCCTGTCTCTCTCTCCCTTCCTCTCTCTCCCTCCCACTCTATCTGTACAAAAAAAAAAAGGAAAAATATCCTCGGGTGAGGATTAAAAATAAATAAATAAATAAACTATAGTGTATCTACAGATATGTACAACCATCACCAGATTTAGAACATTTTCATCAACCCAAAAGCCCCTTCCCCCTGCCCCATCTGCCAGCATCACTAAGCCGTCTCTATAGATCCCTGTATTGGCAGATTTCATATGAAATCATATATGACCACTGTGACTGCCTTCTTGCATTTAGTGTGTTTTCAAGGACTCCTAACACTTTTTTTTTTTTTTAATCCTCACCCGAGGACATTTTTCCATTTTTTGTTCAGACAGAGTGGGAGGGAAAGAGAGGAAGAGAGAGAGAGAAACATCAATGTGAAAGGGACACATTGAGTAGCTGCCACCCGCTCAACCAACCAGGGCCAGGGACAAACCGCAACTGAGGTATGCGCCCTTAGCGGGAACCAAACCCAGGTCTCTCTGGACCGAAGACTGACGCTCTAACCACTGAGCCAAACCGGCCAGGGGTCAACTTCTTGACTAATGATTTGGGCTGGTCTTTTAGTAGGGGACCACTGCAGCCTAGGTTTCCTCAAATGTAAATGGGGACAGTAGCACCTTGGTAAGAAGTGACCATTCTACTTCAAGCTGGAAAGCTAGATTTGACCCCGTGGCTATAGTTTGCTGACTCCTATAAAGGTCAAAATCAAACCCCTCCTGAGCAGCAGTTAGAACCACTGTCCTATGATTTTCTGTGTCTCTGTTTTCTCATTTGCAAAGTGGGGATGATAATACCTGCCTCATCTGTCTCCTGGGGTTTTTGTGAAGAGCAAATAAAATAATGGGAACAGAAGTGCCCAGTGGGCCACAAGGCGATTAGCAAATAGGAAAAGACAAAACCAACATCTGTAAAAGACATTTATTCTGAGAATCTAAAATCTGGACAAAGAATATTGATTGAACTTTTTAGAAAATGCCTACACAAGATTTTGTCATTTTTTCCTAATACATTAACCACCTAATAATAAAGAGGGAAAAAACTTTCAAACGATATTGTTCGTTTGTCTGCATTTATGTGATTTAAAATATTCCTGTTCTATTGAGGTATAAGCTGCAAACTTTGGTAAAGTTTGTAAAAAAATTAACAAATAATTCCAAAAAATACAAAAAAAAAACCCTAAGTTATAAATTTCTTGGTACATATACAGTAACTACAAAAAATTTCATTTAAAAAAAGTATTTATTTAAAAAACAAATCCCCTCTTGTAATACTCAATTGGTGAGTTGAAATTTCAATTTAAAGGAAGAACAAAACGCAACCTATCCCCAAACACTCACCCGGTTTTGGAAAGAACTGGTTGGCCAATCTGAGAATCTGGTTGGCATTTTCAATAATTCAGTGCTAAAAAAAGAGCCTTGTGTTTAGAAAGAAAGAAAGAACTAAAGGCACTTGAACATGGCTTAGTGCATCTGCTTCTGTGGTGTTCCAGATCGGACAGCATTTGGCTGCACACTCAGCCCCACGTAGGAGAGTCCAGTGGAGGTAGCTTCTGTGTGGCCTCAACTCTGCTCAAGGGATACAGGTCTCTGCTTGCGGGTCTTAACCACAGAAGCCGACTGGTGGCGGATGGCTTTGAGGCCAGAGTTAAAACTGAGCTGAATGAGATTTTTTTCCTTTTTCCCTTTCAACAATGTCCTGATGGATGACAGCAGGGCCACACCACACCCAGGGCCACCACCAGGCACCATCCTGCTGGGTGTTGGCAATAAAATGCTATCAGAAGGTGTGCTTGCTTTCAGCTTTGGGGGCCAACCCCACACACCTGGAAAAGATTGTTCTAGGCAGTCAATGCCCTCTTGCAAGAATCTCTGAGAACTTGATATTGGGAACATAAGTCGCCTTCAGGCTAAGGAATTTCTAATTTCATCTTCAGGAAAAAAAAATTTTTTTTTTTTTTTGCTGATACATTGCAGGCTTTATATTCTTTTAAAAACCAAGATAAAACACTGAGCAGTCTAACTTTCTTTCTTTCAGCCATAATACAAATTCCTGAAAATTTATAGATAAAAACAAAACAAAACCAGGAAGACAAGGCTTTTTAAAAGGAAGTAGAGGAAAAACTACATATTTAAGTTAAGCCCACTAAAAACAAGAGGGGCCAAGGATGCCTCTGATGCGTTTTTAGAAAACGCCCGGCGAGAAGTGCTTGAGGATCACCGTCCATTGCCATAACCTGGGAAGAGCTGGCTGAGGACTGCCTGCAGCGGCTGGTTCACCTGCATGGCGTAGTTCCGGCCCAGATCATAGCGGCAGGCGGGGCAGGTGAACACCTGAGCTCTGAAGGATCTATCCAGGCAATCCTATGAGAGAGTGAAAAGGTGAGACATGCCATCCACATCAGTGGGGCTACTCCTGGCCACCCACTGTCCCCTCTGACAGAGTTGAGAACAATTAATGACTTCTCATCGGGTCCAGAGGCCCCTTCTGATCCTCAGTCTCACTTTCTACCACTTACCTGCCAGCCAGCCTGACCCTCCCAGGACCCCTCAAAGACTCTAGGCTCATCCTGGCCCCCAGGCCTTGGCACTTGGCACAGGTGACACCACCTAACAGATCTGTCCTCTGGCTCTCTCATTACTTACTCCTTGACTCAAGTCACCTCCTCAGAGGAACCCTTCCCTGACACCCCTGGACTACTGAAAGCAGCCCCACACAAGCCAGTCCTAGCATCTCTCCAGTTTGCCTTAAAACAGCACCTTCTACCTTCTGGCATCATCTTGCTTACTAACACGTTCATCTCTATAGGCCAGATGCTCTCTGTGATTTGGAGCTGTGTCTGGTTGACACTCCCAGCACCACACATAGGATAAGACACATAGTAGTAGATAATCAATAAATATGCATCAATGAAAATAAAGGGAAACAGGAAGAAATTCTGGCACCAAGCCAGACTTCTGGATTAAAACTAAACCAGGCAGAGACAGAGTTATAAAGCAGACAGGCCCTAGAGAGCCAAATTCCCAATCAGAGAAACAGGAAAGATACCAGCCACCTGGGCAGAGACAAAACACACAGGTATGCAGGCACCTGTACAGGTGTGCACACCTAAAGGATGACATCATGCAACTGGATAAGGGAGTAAATGTCATCACAATGAAAACTGGCTAGTGTCGCTCAGATGGTTGGACATTGTCCCATGGACCAAAGGGTCGTTGATTCGATTCCTGGTCAGGGCACATGCCAGGATTTTGGGCTTGATCCCCAGTGGGGGGTGTGCAGGAGGCAGCCAATTGATATTACTCTCACATTAATGTTTCTCTCTCTCAAAAACCAATAAAAACATTAAAAAAAAAAAAAAAAAGGAAAGCCCTGGTCAGTTTACTCAGTGGTTAGAGCATCGGCCTGCGAACTAGAAAGTCCCGGGTTTGGTTCCTGCTGAGGGCACGTGCCTCGGTTGCAGTTTGTCCCCAGCCCCAGTTGGGGTCGTGTGGGTGGCAACCACTCGTATGTGTCTCTCTCACATTGATGTTTCTCTCTCTCTTTCCCCCTCTCTCCCTCCTGCTCAATCTGAAGATAAATGCAAAAATGACCTCAGGTGAGGATAAAAAAATAAATTAAATAAATAAATAAATAAATAAATAAATAAATAAAGGAAAGAAAGCCTATTGATGACATAGCACATTCAACCATGAATGCATGCTGAGGATTTTTTTTATCCTTACCTGAGGACATTTTTGCATTTATCTTCAGATAGAGAGGGAGGGAGAGAGAGAGAGAGAGGAACAGAGAGAGAGAAACATTGACATGAGAGAGAGACATCGAGTGGTCGCCACCCACACAACCCCAACCGGGGCTGGGGACAAACCGCAACAGAAGTACGTGCCCAGGACTTCTGGGAACCGAACCCAGGACTCTCTGGTCCACAGGATGACGCTCTAACTGCTGAGCCAAACTGGCCAGGGCTGTTTACTAATTTTTTAAACTCCTGAATTCTTTTTTCAATATAAAGTTTATAGCTTTGATTCCAGAGACAAAGGTAGCTCTTTCTGCTCAATACAACTAAGATTCGGGTCCACGTTCAAAAATCATGTTCTGAATCACTGCATGATTCATAGCATCCAAAAGGTGAAAACAGCTCTGGCCTGTTTGGCTCAGCGGTAAAGCACTGGCCCTCGGACCAATGAGTCACAGGTTTGATTTCAGCCAAGAGCACGTACCTTGGTTGCGGTTCATCCCCAGCCCTGGTCAGGGTCATGCGAGAGGCAACCAGTCGATGTGTCCCTCTCACGTTAATGTTTCTCTCTCTCTCCATTTCTCTTCCTCCCACTCTATCTGAAGATAAATAGAAAAATATCCTCAGGTGAAAATTAAAAAATAAAAATAAAAAACAAAAGGTGGAAACAAACCAAGTGTCCATCAGTGGATGAATGATACAGAGGGTGTGGTCAACCCAGACAACAGAATAATAGTATTTGGTCTTAAGAAGGAAATTCTGACACACATGCAACAATGTGAATAAACCTTGAGGACATTATGCTTAGTGAGAGAAGCCAGACATGAAAGGACAAATATACCCTGGCCTCAGTAGTTAGAGCATCAGTCCCTGGACTGAAGGGTCTCAGGTTCAATTCCTGGTCAAGGGCATGTACCTGGGTTAGAGGCTCGATCCCCGGCCCTGGATGGGGTCGTGCAGGAGGCAATCAATCAATGTGTCTCTCTCACATTAATGTTTCTCTCTCTCTCCCTCCCTCTCTTCCATTCTCTAGAAATCAATGAAAAAAATATCCTTGGGTGAGGATTAACCATAAAAAAGAAAAATTAGAATGCTAAATTTTATGTTATATATATTTTACTACAATAAAGTAATTTAACAAAATAAAATAAATTAGCCCTGGCCAGTTTTCTCAGTGGTTAGAGCGTTGGCCCTCGGACCATAGAGGCCTGGGTTTGGTTCCCACTAAGGGCACGAACCTCAGTTGCAGTTTGTCCCTGGCCCCAGTCGGGGTGTGTGGGTGGCGAACACTCGATGTGTCTCTCTCACGTCGATGTCTCTCTCTCCCTCCCTCTTTCCCTCCCACTCTATCTGAAGATAAAGGCAAAAATGTCTTCCAATGAGGATAAAATACTAAAAAAAATAAAATAAATCAGGTGCTGGGACATCAGGGTAAAGGGTCATTTTCCCGTAACTCTTCACATGCTGATGTTCTGGGAGATGTAACTACAGTTGCATGGACAGTTTGGGCAGCCACATAAATGTCGGTACCCTCTTCCTCCACAAGCTTGGAACTTAATGACACATATGACTGACCCGAGACACTTGGTCCCCGAAACCTCATCAATCCAGTCAATGTCTGCAGTGCTAGCCAGGTGTGACCTTTGCAAGCTTCCCCACATCTCGTGCCTCCTCTACGTGCTTGCCCAGAGCACTTTAGCACGTGTCACCTAGAGCCAGGAGCAGGCCAACAAGGTGCTACTATGCTTTTTCATTAAGGGATAACTGAAGCTCGGAGAGTTAGGTGGCCTTCCAAGGATGAGAGGCACAGAGCTGGGGGGAGGATCAAACCCTGGCTGCTGACTCCAAAGCCTTCATCTCACCATTGTCCACCAATCCTGAGCCTCTTCACAGGTCACAGAGCTGAAAGAACACCATCAGCCCACATGACATGGCAACACAGCCTGAGAGCAGAAAAGTAAAGGCCTGACCCTGATGGCCAAACAACCAAAGAGCTTCATGTTCTCTGAGCCTCTTCCCTAGTGTGACAGCTGAGGGACTGAGACAGGCCCAAGGCAAGGGGCCAGGGTGGAGAACAAAATCACCAGCAGCTCAGAGACCAACATTGACAAGGAAGTGGGACAATCTCTTCTAATGCCATCTGCCTGCACTGCCCATAAGTTCCTACTGACAGACTTTGGCTAGGAAATACTGACAACAAACCATTTATACAGGCCAATGCTTCCCAACTGGACGATTCTGCCCCCAAGGGACACTGGGCCATGTCTGGGGACATCTGTGGTTGTCATGACTTGGGGAGCTCTTGGAATCAAGTGGGTGGGGATCAGATAGACAGTTCAACACTCCAGTGCCCAGAACTGGCCCCCCCACAGAGAATATTCCAGCCCTAATACCTGCAATGCCACAGGGGAGACTGTAGTTTAGTCTAATTTCAGCTCCCATCTCTCTTTTTTTTTTCATCCTCACCTAAAGATATTTTTCCATTTATCTTCAGATAGAGTGGAAGGGAGGGAGAGAGAGAAGCATCAATGTAAGAGACACACATCAACTGGCTGCCTCCCACACAACCCTGACCAGGGCCGGGGATGAACTGCAACCAAGGTACATGCCCTTGGCCGGAATCAAACCAACAACTCATTGGTCCGCAGGCTGATGCTCCAACCACTGACCCAAACTGGCCAGGGCACCAGCTCCCCATCTCTTTTTCAATCATTTTGTTTCTCTCCTGAGAATGACCATTAAGCAGAGCCTACGACCTACCTCCCAGTCCCACATCCCCTACAGGCCCCAACTGTTCAGACATGACTACCTACCCAGACAAGACTACCTGTCCAGACTTCTGCACGTGCCATTCTTCCTGCCTGCCTAGAATGCTTCTCCCAGAGGCCCTCTTTAGGTGATAGGCTAAGGCCCCCTCCTCCAGGAAGCCTGCTCCTATAGGAGACAAGCACCTTATTCCTTTACCAACTGCTTTATAGTCATTTACTATGCCCAGAGCTCGGGCCAGGACTGCCACCTGTCCTCCCCCACCCTGGACTCCCAGGCATATGAGAGGTTGGAGGAGAGTGTTCCAGAGGGAGGAGAGAACCAGCCAATGCACAGCAGAGGGCTAGTATGGCTGGAGTCACGAGGCAAGGTGACACTGGAGTGCCAGGCAGCCAAGGTGAGTCCGGTGGCCAGGGCAAAGCATTGGCATTTGATTCCACAGCACCAGAAAGGCACAGGAGGGTGGGAAGCAGGGAAGTGGGGTGATGGGATCCCTTGATGAAGGCAGGGAGGCAACTATAACCAAGGCTACTTGGAAAACAGACACTGAGGCCCTACAAAAGCCAGGAGCCAGGAGTATGAAGAAGCCAAGCCAACAAGCCCATACTATGTACTGGGTGTGTGGCAGCCCAGCTCCCGTGCCCACTCCTCTCACCTTGCACACATTGTGTTGGCACACGGTTGTGATCGGACGGAATACCAGCTCCTGGCAGCAAATACACTGGAACGTTTCTTCCACTTTACTCAGGAATTTCTGAAACCAGAAAAGAGGAGGTATGAGACCAGCAGAGCCTTGTACCAGAGGAACAACCATGTTGATGAAATCTTCAGAAAATGGGGCTCCCTGCTAGGGCCTCACCACGGGTCCCGTAATTTAATCTTCCTACCCCACCCCAGGAGACAGGCATGGTTGTGATCCCCATTAAGATGAGAAAGCGGAGGTACAGACCAGTGCAGGCCTTGCCCAGGACCTGGTGATGGGCATAGCTGGCCAGGGTCACAGCCTTGATGGTGCTGAGTGGGACACCCAGCGTCGAGGTCAAGAGTGGGCTCTACCTGAGGGTGTGAATCTGGATCACTCAGTAAATGGTGCTGAGCACCTTCTGTGTGCTGCCCAGATGCCGTCCAGCAGTGGAGTAAACAGAAGAACCCTATGCCCTCATGGAGGTTGGAGCCCCATGGGAGTCAGGGGCAACAACAAAACAGGGAAAGACAGAAATGTCACAAGAGTGTTGGAAAGTACAGCATGGAGCCTGGGAGGGGACAACCCAAAATGCAGGCGCTCAGAGAACACACTGTAGAGAAGGTGACCTGAAGGACATGTGCCCAGCTAAATCATGGCCCTCAAAATGCCACATCCGAATCCCAGGATCAATACCTATTTCCCTTCCATAGCAAAAGAAACTCTGCAGGTAAAATTAAATTGAGGACCCTGAGATGGGACTATATTAAACTAAAAAAAGTTTTTGCACAGTAAAAGAAACCATCAACAAAACAAAAAGACAATCTACTGAATGTGAGAAGATGTTCACCAATGATACATACAATAAGGGGTTAATACTCAAAACTATATAAAGAACTCAGACAACTTAGCACCAAAAGACAAACAATCTGGTTTAAAAATGGACAGAGGACCTAAACAAATGTTTCTCCAAAGAGGACATACAGATGGCTAATAAACATATGAAAAGATGTTCAACACCACTAATCATCAGAGAAATGCAAATTAACCACCATGAAATAGCACCTCAAACCTGTCAGAATGGCTATCATCAACAAATCAACAAACAACAAATGCTGGCAAGGACGTGGAGAAAAAGGAACCCTCGTGCACTATTGCTGAGAATGCAGACTGGTGCAGCCACTACGCAAAGCAGTGTGGAGTTTCCTCAAAAAATTTAAAAAGTACAACTACCTATGACCCACCAATCCCACTTCTGGGTACAGACAGCCACCGACTTAACAATTTTTCAACTTTGCAATGTTGTAAAAGCAACACCCATTCAGTAGAAACTGTACTTCAAATTCTGAGTTTTCATCTTGTCCTGGGCTAGGGATACGCAGTTTGACACTTAGCCACGGTGCTGGGCAGCAGCAGCGAGAGGAGTCTGTACCACTGGAGGCGAATGTACGTGTTCTGAGCATGTTCACAGTGGGGTGGGTTAAACTGTGGTGTTCGGTAGGTTAAATACATCCGATCCCTGTGATTTATGATGGATTTATTGGGACAAAACCCCATTGTAAATTAAGAAACATCTATATATATCCAAGAGAATTGAAACAGAGACTAGAAGAGATGGTTGCACACCCATGTTCACAGCAGAATGATTCACGATGTTCAAAACATAGAAACAACCCAACTGTCAGCTGACAGATGATGGATACACAGAATGTGGTCCTTCCAGACAATGAAACATTATTCAGCCTTAAAAAAAAAAACACATTCTGCCCTGGCTGGTTTGGCTCAGCAGTTAGAGCGTCGGCCCGCAGACCAAGGAGTTGCAGGTTTGATCCCCAGTCCCAGTTGGGGTCATGCAGGAGGCGACCAGTAGATGTGTCTTTCTCACATCAATGTTTCTCTCTCTCCCTCCCTCCCTCCCTCCCTCCCACTCTATCTGAAAAAAATCAATGGAAGAAATATCCTCCAGTGAGGATTAAAAAAAAAAAAAAAACATTCTGAAACCTGCTACAACATGGATGAACCCTGAGGACGTTATGTTCAGTGAAATAAACCAGGCATAAAAGAACAAATACTGTGCAATTCCACTTATAGGAGGTCCAAAAAGGAGTCAGATCCAGAGACAGGAGTCAGATCCAGCAGCTTGGGGAGGACAATGGGGAGGTAGTGTATAATGGGGACAGTTTCAGTTTGGGAAGATGAGAAAGTTCTGGGGATGATGGGGATAAATGCATGATGATATGAATGTCTTTAATGCCACTGAGCTGTACGTTGAAAAATGATTAAGATGGTGCATTTTATGTTATCTCTATTTTGTTATAATAAAAAGAAATAGTGAGGATGGGGGGAGGCTGCCCAGGCCATACTGGGTGCTCACCGGCCCATCCTTGAGCGACTTGAGGATCTCGGTCCACAGCTTGTTGTTGCTCTGGTCCTCCTTGATAAGGCCTTTCTGCTGGGCTGTGAGGCTGTAGGGTTCCACCTTGGTTTTCTTGGGTGTCCTTCCTGGGGACCAGGCACCAGTCCTGCCACCTCCTAAGATAGAGCAGAGTGGTGAGGGCAGGTGAACCCAAGGGCACATGGACAGGCTGCCCATGGAGAGACACCCACCTTCCGACTTGCTCTTCCGTTTGCCCTTCCTAGGGGACGTGAAACCCTCCTCTTCCTCCTCCTCTTCCTCTTCCTCTTCCACTTCTTCAGCCGTCCTCTTTCTGTTCTCTTTCTCCTTCTCCTTCTTGGCCAGGGCCTCAAGGTAGCCTTCTGGGTACTACGAGAGAGCAAAATCACAGGCTGGAGCAGTGGGCCTCCTGAGCGACCCAGACTCCCTACAGGGGTTCAGGAACCAGGAACTGCCTCACCCTGACATCTACCACCCTGGCCCCAAACTTCCTGCCATCTCCCTTCACCTTGTCACTCCCTCCTCAGTCCCCAAGCCTTAACTCCTAACTGACAGCTTCAGATCTCAGCTTCCACTCACTTAACTCCAGAGCCTAGGGCAGTAACCTCATTACCATACTTACCAGGAATTCAGAGCTAACCTGCCCTGGGCAGGGTGAGTGACGCATCAAATGAGATAGTGCAGTAAAATGCTTAGCATCAGATCCAGGCAATATGATAATCTTACTATCTTTATTATTTCCTTTAAGGGGCAGGCAAACTTTCCTATACGGGATTAGGTGGTAAATGTATTTCCAGCTTTGTGGCCCAACAGCAGACAGAGCCCCTTTGTGAATGAACAGGTGTGATTGTGCCCCAAGAAAACTCTATTTGCAGACAACTGCCTCAGGGCCTTAGCTGCCATCCAACCTCATCTTGATGGCTCTTGGGCTCCAGGTCTGAACAAGCATGACTTCGTTATAACCCTGTGTCTAAGGCATCTATAGTCATGTCCAATTCTGAAAGATTTCATCAAGAAATCTCCAACTGCCTGGGCTGGTGTGGCTCAGTGGTTGGAGCGTTAGCCCATGCACCCAAGGGTCATGGATTCAATTCACAGTCAAGAGCATGCACCTGGGCTGCAGGTTTGATTCCCCCACCCCTGTTGGGGTGTGTGCAGGAGGCAACAGATTTATGTGTGTACATGTGTGTGTCTCTCTCTCCCCCCTTTCCTCCCTTCCCATCCACTCTCTCTAAAAATCAATAAAATATATCCTCAGGTGACGATTAACAAAAAACAAAAATGAAAAAAATGCAATCTCCAACCTTCTTTAAAAGAAACACTAACTTGCAATGAAACTGAAATCATAAATAAAAACCCTACTCCCAGTAGACACTGATGTTCCTGTCCCACAGCTATTCTCCGCAGTTCCCCAGCTTCTGAAATTGCCGGTTGCACACAGTATGTTCAAAAGACAACTCCTGGGTGTGTCGTTACTTTTGAAACGAGTGGCAGGAGCTGCTGCGAGCCCCAGCTGGCCATGTGCAGTCTCCGTGTGCGGTGGGCCTAGCCATGGCGCGGCAGTTGGCCTGGGAGCAGGGCATCACCCTGTGTGGGAGCGCTGACATCATGGCCAAGTTCTTCTCATTTGGCATCAATAGCATTTTATATCAGCGTGGCATTTATCCGGCCGAAACCTTTACTCGAGTGCAGAAATATGGACTCACCCTGCTTGTAACCATGGATCCTGACCTCAAGAAATACCTAAACAATGTGGTGGAAAAGATTAGCTGTACAAGTGTTCGGTGCAGAAACTGGTGGTGGTCATCACGAACACTGAAAATGGGGAGGTCCTCAAGAAATGGCAGTTTGACATCAAATGTGACAAGATTGCCAAAGATGACAGTACACCCAGAGAAAAGTCTCAGAAAGCTATCCAAGATGAAATCCACTCAGTGATCAGACAGATCACAGCTACCGTGACCTTTCTGCCCCTGCTGGAAGTTTCCTATTCATTTGATCTGCTGATCTACACAAAGATTTGGTTGTACCTGAAAAGTGGGAAGAGTCAGGACCCCAGTTCATTACCAATTCGGAGCAAGTCCGTCTGCGTTCCTTCACCACTACCATCCACAAAGTGAACAGCATGGTGGCCTACAAGATCCCTGTCCATGACTGAGGGGCCGAGCGCAGTCGTGGATTCTGTGTTTCCTGAAACCATGTCAGCCGTGTGCATGTCCTGTCTCACTAAGTAGTTTTTAGATGGAGAACTTTACAGTATACTTTACTGAGCTGTGCACGGTGTTCCAGTTTTTGGTACCTGTTTGGCTTTCCGTAGGGTTGATGTCAGGTTTGCACACTGTTCAGAGGGAACCAGCAGGTTACAAAAGTACAGTCAATCCCTTTGAGGGTGGTAACAGGAGATGGAAAACTTTTGCTATAAAGAAACTAAATGCCTTCCTAATCCAGACCTCTTGGTCAAGTAGCTTGACTCAGAGTGTAGGTCAATGTGAAACAGTAAAAGAAGTCTGAACATTCAGAATCTTTGTTTAGTCCTAAAGTAACTGATAATCCACAACCACAATATTCCAGGAAGGTTCTTTTGCAATTTATTTCATTTGTATAGTTTCCATGTTGAAAAAGATCTTCTTCCCTGGCTGGTTTGGATCAGCGATTAGAGCAATGGCCTGCGGTCCAGAGAGACCCGGGTTCAGTTCCTGCTAAGGGCACATACTTTGGTTGCAGTTTGTCCCCAGCCCTGGTTGGTCGTGCGGGTGGCAGCCACTCGATGTGTCCGTTTCACGTCAATGTTTCTCTCTCTCTCTTCTGTTCCTCTCTCTCCCTCCCACTCTACCTGAACAAAAAATGGAAAAATGTCCTCGGGTGAGGATAAAAAAAAGATCTCCAATGATTTGATTTTAATGTATATAATTTACACTTACAAAGCTGTCCCTATTTCTACTTTTTAAATTCTGGTATTATATAGAACTCTTAATGTCTTTGTATTTTACAAAATCAAGCTTTAAATGATAATGATAAAGTTAAATGTTAAAAAAAAAAGACAACTCCTTGTGACCTCCCTCCCAGGGGGCAGGTGCTATCAAACTCTCAATGACAATTAAGATTCCTTAAATAGTCCCAAAACAATTATCAGCTGTTAAAGCACCTCACCATAATAAACAGAAAACACCATAATTATAGTGCCAAAAGCCCTATTCCAGCACAGGGTGAATTCTCGAGGATGGAAGATTCCATTTCTGTAAACAGGAAGCGTTGGTTGGGAGGGATCAATCCTCATCATCTTTACACTAACTTCTCTACATTCCACCAGTTTTGCTGGTTTCTGCTGTTTTGGAGGGAGGGGCATACAAATTGATTTCAGAAAAACCCATTTACTAACACAGCTACAAGAAGTCTGTATCAACTCTAAAACGATGAACACAAAGGCCCAAACATGATCTGCCCATCTAATATCCACTGGCTACAGAACTGAAATGGAGCAGACAGCAGCAAGGTGTGGCCAGCTAGGCCCCTGGACATCACTTAGGATGAAAGAGAAACCCAGAGCTTCCAGGTCAAGAAGGCAGGTTCTGGCTGGCTGAGCACTCATGGTCCAGTCCTCCTTGGGGTGGCTGCTGCTATGACCAACCAGGAAGATGAGGCTCAAAGCAGGACTGCTGGGCCTGGTGAACATGGTCTGGACGCACCTGCATGGTTAGCCCCAGTTTCTTGATCCGGTCCTTCCCTTCCTTTGTCCAGGGGCCGGGTTCATTGTCGTCCCTCCGCAGAAGATAGCGCCACACCAAGAAGCCGGATTTCCCCTTCTCGGGCCAGTACCTCACAACCTGCAGAAGTGAAAACCAATGTCAGTGTCATCTGGGACTGGAGGTGGCCCCAGTGGGTGCAGGGAGAACCTCTCACCTTGTAGATGCCATCGTACCGGTTGCCCTCAGTGGGGGCATATTTGCTATGCTTGCGGCCCTTGACGTTGCGCACCACCCGGACCGGCTTCCCTGAGCGCCAGTCCTTGGCCTCAGCCCCTTTGCGGTCGTTGATGGGTGCACTGCAGTTGAGAGCCAGTGCCCTGTGGGGAGAGCCATGGCCACATGCTGTAGGTTGGATTGTGTGCCCCAAAGAGAGAGGGCATCAACCCATGGAACCTGTGAATGTGACCTTCTTTGGAAAGAGGGTGCTTGCAGATAAAGTCAAGTTCAGAGGAGGTCAGGATGGAGGAGGGGGGACCCTAAATCCAATGACTAGTATCCTTAGAAGAAAAGGAAACAAACACAGACACAAAGGAAAGGACACCATGTAAAGATTGAGGCAGAGGCTGGAGTGATGCCGCCATAAGCTAAGAGACCCCAAGGATTGCTGGCAGCCACCAGAAGCTGGAAGAGGCAGGCAGGACCCTCCCACAGAAATTTCAGAGGGAGTATGCCCTGGGACACCTAAATTTTGACTTTGCGTTTCCAGAAATAGGCCAGAATAAACCACCTAGTGGTCTTTTGTTACTTGAGCCACAGGCTACTAGCACATCAAGAAAAAAAGAAGAGGCAGTAAACACAGACTAGCCAGGCAGCTGTCTCGCCCAAGGGCACAGAGACCTGGGGCAAGCCGATCAGAGGTCAGGCTCAGCACACTGACCTCTTTATCGGGTGTGAAAGAAAAGAGCTGCAACCACAAGGCTGTTTTCCAGGTACAAACAGTACTTTTTAAACAAATTTCTAGTTTGTGTTCAGAAAGTATCACTTAATGTTAGCTTACGTGCAGTCCATCACATTAAATCTTTTCTTAAAACGTGATTTTAATACCTGCTGAAATTAAAATATTCCACTAGACAAATAACCTTCCCTTTTTTATAAAGACATTCAGGTACTGATACTTTGCTGTTTTACATAATGGTAATAACATAAACATTACTACCCATAAGATTTTCCCCTCCCCATGTCTCATAACACACTTTCAAAAAGCAGAATTAAAGCATTATAGGTCATTTTCATAACCTTTCCGAAAAGAAGGTACCAATTTGTATTTCTAATAATAGGGGAACACCAGTCTATGCTGTAACATTTCTCAACATTTTAGGTTTTTTTTGGCCAATTTCACAGAAGAAATAAATAGTACTTTACCATCACTTCATTTATACTTCTTTGATTACTAAAGTTGAAAAATTTTTCGTGGTCATTGGAGAGTTCTATTTTTTCTGTGAATGATCTGTATGTCCTTTTCTTTCTACTAGTTTTTCTTACTGATTTGCAACAGCTCTTTACATAATAACCATGTGTCATGTTTGTTGACTTTCCCCCCGAAGAGTCATCTGTCTCTTCATTTTACTTATGGATTTTACTAATGCAATTTATAATATTTAGGTCATCAAATCTGTTTTTTGGGCTTTATATTTTTTGTTTTTACTGATTTTAGAGAGAGAGAAAGGTGAGGGGGAGAGAGAAACATCAATGTGAGAAACATCAATCAGCTGCCTCCTGCATGCCCCCTACTGGGGACTGAATCTGTAACCTGTGCCCTGACCAGGAATCAAACCAAACCACCTGAGCCACACTGGCCAGGGCAAGGCTTTATAATACTTTCTTTACTTAAAAAGACTTCCTCCCTAGCCAGTATGGCTCAGCGGTAAGATCGTCGCCTGGGGCCCAGAGAGTCCCGGGTTCGAATCCAGCCAAGGGCATGTACCTCAGTTGTGGTTCATCCCAGCCCCAGTTGGGGTTGTGCGGGTGGCAACCAATAGATGTGTCTCTCTCACATTGATGTTTCTCTCCCTCTCTTCCTCCCTCTCTCCCTCCAGCTCTATCTGAAGATTAATGTAAAAATATCCTCAGGTGAGGATTAAAAAAAAGTCAAAAAGATTTATCATCTGGCCTCTTTGGAGAAAAATTTACTTTAATGCACTGAATGACTCATAAGTCTTTAGCAGATAGAGAAGAGAAGACATGGATTTTCAGCATCCATATATGTTCTATCACACTCTTAATGGGAATCTAACTTCCGGGACATGACAACCCAAAACAGAACCAACCCGCTTCCCTGTGTAGCTCCCAGAGAGGGGCAGAAGTGAGTTGGTGAAAAATTAAGAAAATTTTGTTTCTGCAAACCTGTTGGTGTTGGTGAGTTTCTGATCACATGACTGTTCTGCTGTCCGCTTGTTGCCGGAAAGATCTCGACCACCGCTACCAGTATATGTGAACGAATTCCCATGGTCCTAAAACAGAAGGGCAAGCTGAACCCTCACCACAGGAGAGTAGAAACTCCACTAAAAATAAACCCACAACACCCGGGATGTCAACTGTCAAAGAAACAGAAAATAACCAGTAATGATAAGGATGTGGAGAAACTGGAACCTTGTGCACTGCTGGTAGGAATGGAAAATGGTGCAGCTACTGTGGAAAATGGTATGGAGGTTCTTCAAAAAGTTAAATGTGATCTAGCAATTCCACTTCTGAGTCTGTCTATACCCAACAGAATTGAAAGCAGGGCATTTCAGAGATATCTGTACACTCATGTTCACAGCAGCACTACTCACAATATCCAAGAGGTGGAAGCAACTTAAGTGTCCATCGACAGATGAATGGATAAACAATATGGTCCACCCAGACAATAAAGTATTATTTAGCCTTAAAAAAGAAGGAAATTCTGCAGTATGCTACAACATGGATGAACCTTGAGGGCATTATGCTCAGTGAAATAAGCCAATCACAAAAGGACAAATACTGTGTGATTCTACTCAGAGGAGGTCCCTAGAGAAGTCAGAGTCAGAGACAGAAAGTGGATGGTGGGAGCCAGGGCTGTGGGAGAGGACTTGGAGTTAGTGTTTAATGGGGACAGTTTCAGTTTGGGAAGATAAGTTCTAAAGAAAAATGGTGGTAATGGTTACACAAGTGAATGTACTTAAATGCCACTGAGATGTACACTTAAAAATGATTAAAATGGTACATTTTAGCCCTGGCTGGTGTGTTCAGTGGTTAGTGTCGGCCAATGCACCAAAGGGTCTCGGGTTTGATTTCTGGTCAAGGGCATGTACCTGGATTGCAGGTTTGATCCCTTGGCCTCAGTCAGGGTGCATTCAGGCAACCAATCGATGTGTCTCACATTGATGTTTCTCTCTCTCCTCCCTCCCCCTTCCACTCTCTCTGAAAATCAATGGAGCCCAGCTGGTATGGCTCAGTGGTTGAGCATCAACCGATGCACCAAGAGGTTACCGGTTGGATTCCCGGTCAGGACACATGCCCAGGTTTTCGGCCAAATCCCCAGTGGTGGACATGCAGGAGGCGGCCAATCCATGTTCTCTCTCATCGATGTTTCTGTGTCTCTCTCTCCCTCTCCCTTCCTCTCTCTCTAAAATCAATAAAGAAAAAAAAAATTTTTTTTAATCAATGGAAAAATATCCTCAGTTGAGGATTAACCAAATTTTTTCAAAAAGGTACATGTTACCCTGGCTGGTTTGGCTCAGCAGTTAGAGCGTCGGCCTGCGGTCAAGAGAGGCCCAGGTTCGGTTCCCGCTAAGGGCACATACCTTAGTTGCAGTTTGTCCCCGGCCCTCATTGGGTCATGCAGGAGGCAGCCACTCAATGTGTCCCTTTCACGTCGATGTTTCTCTCTCTCTCTCTTCCTCTCTTTCCCTCCCACTCTGTCTGAACAAAAAATAGAAAAATGTCCTCAGGTGAGAATAAAAAATAAATAAATAAAAAGGTACATGTTATGTGTATTTTACAATTAAAAAATAAACAGAACAACCCCTACTCACCACATCATCCTCATACCCCCCAGCCAGGACCAGGGAGTATGCCCCGTCATTGCTCCGGCCGTGGATGCCCGCCACATGAGGCCGATGGACTCCTGATTCACTAACCTGTGAAAACCACCAAGAAACAAATGGCACCTTCTAGACTGGCTGTTGTAGAAAAGCTCAACCCCATACTCCTGCTGCTGCCTTCAGAGCCAGTGGCTCCACTGTCCCACTGAATGCATCACACCTCTTATGAAAACCTCTCCCCTGAATCTGGGCCACAGATTGAATTCCAGCCATGCCACCTGCTCAACGGGTGGCCATCTCTAGGTGAAGGGTCTTCTGGAAAGCCAGTGCCTATCGGCCAAACCCCAGATGTTTCTGAGTACCTGGACTCTGAACCTCCACATGGTGCCCACGGGGATCCCTGGGATGGGTCCATAGTGGTTGGATGGAACGATGGTGCACTCCTTGGTGCGCCCCACGCACGCCATGCCCTGTCCATTCAGGAAACAGATGAAAAGAGCAGTGTAAGCAAGCACAGGAGGCTGGACAGGCCTGCTGGGGGCGTGCAGGGCGAGGGGGCTACCTTACCTTGCCCCAGTCCCGCTGCGAGGAAGACGTGGCTGATGCCATCTTCGCTTTCTTCTTACTCTCTTTCAGTTTCTCCCCTGCCAACACTACCTCGCTGGCATCATTTCGACACTCAGGGCAGTACCTGTGACAACAGGGATGTTACCACTTGTCCTTAGCCCACCCCGCTCCTACTAGTCCTACAGACATAGCCGGCTCCTTCCAGCTCCCTGCCATCCTGTGCTGTCCAATATAAGGAATCTTTTATTTATTTTTTCTTTGTTGGTTTTAGAGATAGAAGAAGAGAGAAAGAGAAATATAGAAACATCCATTGCCCGCCTCCTGCACATCCCCCACTGGGAATTTAGCCCACAACCTGGACATGTGCCCTGATGGGAAATCAAACCAGCAACCTCTAAGTGCATGGGTCGACGCTCAACCACTGAGCAACACAGCCGGGCTAGATAGGAAACCTTTTATTTTTTATTTTTTCTATCCTCACCCAAGGACATTTTTGCACTTATCTTCAGATAGAGTGGGAGGAAGAGAGAGAGAGAAACATCAATGTGAGAGACACACATCAAGTGGTCGCCACCCATATGACCCCAACCGGGGCCAGGGACAAACTGCAACCGAGGTACATGCCCTTAGCGGGAACTGAACCTGGGACTCTCTGGTCCACGGGCTAACAGTCTAAGCACTGAGCCAAACCAGCCAGGGCAAGATAGGGAACATTTTAAATTTAAATTCATTAAGATTAAATAAGCCCTGGCTGGTTTGGCTCAGCGGCAGAGCATCGGTCCACGGACCAGAGTCGCAGGTTCAATTCTGGTCAAGGGCATGTACCTCAGTTGCAGTTTGTCCCCAGCCCTGGTCGAGGTTGTACATGAGGCAGCCAATCGATGTGTCCCTCTCACTTGATGTTTCTCTCTCTCTTTCTCTCTCTCTCCCCCCCCCCTTCTCTGTTTCTCTCTCCCTCCCACTCTATCTGAACAAAAATGGAAAAATGTCCTTAGGTGAGGGTTGAAAAAAAAAAAAGATTAAAGCCCCGGTTGGGGTCTTATGGGTGGCAACCACTCGATGTGTCTCTCTCATGTTGATGTTTCTCTCTCTCTCCCTCCTGTTCTGAAGATAAATGCAAAAAAAAAAAAAAAGCCCTGGGCAGTTTTGCTCGACGGTTAGAGCATCGGCCTGCAGTCCAGAGAGACCCGGGTATGGATCTTGCTAAGGGCATGTACCTCGGTTGCAGTTTGTCCCCAGCCCTGGTTGGACGTGCAGGTGGCAACCACTCAATGTGTCCCTTTCACGTCAATGTTTCTCTCTCTCTCTCTCTTCCTCCCACTCTATCTGAACAAAAAACGAAAAAAAAATATCCTCGGGTGAGGATAAAAAAAAAAAGAGTAAATAAGAAATCCAGTTCCTTGGTCATACGTGCCACATCTGAAGTGGTCAATAGCCACGTGTGGTGACTGGCGACTGTCATAGATAACAGAGCATTCTACCAAACAGATTCTTGCTCCTCTCCCACTGGAAATTTCACAGCACCTCCCAATAGTGGGAGAACCCAACTGGGGTGTGGGAAGCACGGGGAATTCAATGGGCACCTCTTCACTGCCACAGACGCAGTTTCCCCACCTCCACAAGGGGAGGTTCTGAACAATAGCTACCTCCGAGTTATCCTGACAACTGTTAAGAGGTCAGTGTGCTGACACCGGAGCCTGGTGCATCCCTACCTTTCTACCATGTCTGTGCCAAGAGCATCATGGCCAAAAGGTCTGCTCTTGGGCGATGCCGGGATGCCCGGCTCTCTGCTTCCTGCCTGCAGAGTCTCCTTTCTCACATTTACCCAGAGGCCTAAGACACACCAGGAACACAGGATGTCCCCTCACCCCAATTCTCTCATTGCCCCTTGTGGGTTTACTAGGTGATAGACAACATTAGTGCCATTTCTTGGCACCCACCAGCCCCCTATCCCGAATATCCGAGCACCACAGCCCCGGGCCTGTCTCTGGAGCATCCGAGGCATCCACTCACCACTCGTCCTCCTTGGGAATGCTGCTGAGAGGTGGGCAGAGGCAGTACGTGTGAAAGGCCATGTCACATTCATCACACAGGAGCTGCTTGTCAGGATCCTGCTTGCCCCCACACAGGTGGCAAGCGCACACCCGGCAGGTCTTGCTCTGGTCGTCCTTGCAATGCTTGCAGGAGGGCCCACTCTTCCCTGGACACAGGAGTCGAGGTCACCTTGGGCAGGGCCGGTCAAACAAAAAAGAAACAGAAGCCCCCACCCCACGCCCAATGTGGGAGACAGAGAAGAGCAGAATCAGAACTCACTTCTCATTGGGTTTTCCACCACAGGGCTCCCCTCTCCTGGACGCTCAATCTTAAAAACTTCATCCACGAAGATGATCCGACAGTCGTTGAGAGAATTATCCCTGTGAGAGACAAGCCGTTGGAACATTCCAGCTGGCCAACCCTGCAGAGGCGCCTGAGAGGACCTGGTCACGCAGCACATTCTCAGAGCGCTATCAGCTCCTCTAATGATATCAAATAAGAGGCTTCTCAAGGCCCTCGTGCATTCACGTAGCTATTCCCCTCACCAATCCAAATCCTACTAAATCAAACACAAGATAAAAGTAGCATATAAAAGTTTCATTACATGATGCATTGAGAGTAAGTTCTAACCTTCAGGCAGGAGAGGCCGATTGAACAGGGCCCATCATGCAAAAATTTGCCGCCATCAAAATACAAAAGCTTGCCCTGGTCGGTTTAGCTCAACAGTTAGAGCATTGGCCTGCGGTTCAGAAAGACCCGGGTTCAGTTCCCACTAAGGGCACGTACCGCAGCTGTAGTTTGTCCCCGGCCCTGGTTGGGTCATGCGGGAGGCAGCCACTGGATGTGTCCGTTTCGAGTCGATGTTTTCTCTCTCTCTCTCTCTCTCTCCCCCTCCCTCCCTCCCACTCTATCTGAACAAAGAGTGGAGGGATGTCCTCAGGTGAGGATAAAAAAATTAAAAAGAAAATACAAAAGCTCCTCTAAGTTAAAATGACCCCGAGTCAATGTGACACTTATATCCATAACATCCAACAGAAATGACCGCGAGCCACAAACACGTGCCACATGGGTTGTTCCACATTTCCTAAGAACCACACTCAAAAAGTAAGAACAGATGGAATTAATGTGAATGTTTCATGTAACTCGATGTACACAAAATGTTATTTTAATATGTAATCAATAATAAAAAAATTATTAATAGCTTTTTTACAAAAATACTTTATTTTTTAGAGCAGTATTTGGCTCACAGCCAAATTCAACAGAAAGTACAGATTAATAGCTTTTTATAGTCTTTTTTAGCACTAAGTCTTCAAAATCCAGTATGCGTTTCATACTCACGGCACATCTCAGTATGCACTGGCCACATTTCAAGTGCTCGGTAGCACATGTGGCCCATGGCTATAGAAACTAGACAGCACTTCCCTGGCCAGTTTGGCTCAGAGGTTAGAGCGTCAGCCTGTGGACCAAGAATCCCGGGTTCAACTCCGGCCAAGGGAACCTGCCGTACCTTGGCTGTGGTTCGTCCCCGGCCCCAGTTGGGGTCATGTGGAAGGCAGCCAATAGATATGTCTCTCTCACATCAATGTTTCTCTCTCTCCTTCCCTCCCTCTCACTCTATCTTAAGATAAATGGAAAAATACCGTAAGGTGAGGATTTAAAAAAAGAAAAGAAACTGGACAGCACAGGTCTAGACCTATCGGCCAGTTCACAGGAAATGACACCGTGAAAATGCAGATGACAACATCCAGACTGCAGAAGTTCTATGGGACAAATGATCATGTTTTCTCAAATAAATTAAGAAAAGGGGGAAGATAGGAAACCTAAAGATAAAAGACTTAAAACATGCATATTGACCTAACTGAAATCTGTAGACATTATACTTAGATCCTGATCAAAGAAATGTTTTTTAAAAAAAGTGAGATAATTGGAAGATTGAACAATGGATTGAACATAATGGATTAAAAAGACTCAATTATATGTTGTTTACAAGAAACTCACTTCAAATTCAACTACATAGGTTGAAGGAAAGGGGAAAAAAAGATATACCATGCGAACAGTAATTTTTTAAAAAAGCAGGAGTATTCAATATACATGCACACATAAATCCTCAGATAAAGTAGACTTCAGAGCAAAGAAAATAACTAGAGACAAAGAAGGACATTACACAATGATAAAAAGACTGATTAACCAGGAAGACATAACTATCCTAAATGTGTACACACCAAAGAACAATCTCCTAATTATGAAGCTCAAAGGGGAAATAGACATATCCACAATTATAGCTGAGGACTTGGACAGCCCCTCATCAACAGATAGAAGTACTAGACAGAAAATCAGAAAGAATTAGAAGTTGTGAACAACACACTCAATCAACACAATCTAACTGATATAAAGGACATTCTACCAGACAGGAATACTTTTCTTTTTCAAAGAACCATGGAATATTCCACCAAAACAGACCTTATTCTGGGCCATAAAATAAACCTCAAGAAACGTAGAAGAACTGAAATCATAGGGAGTTATGTTCTTTCAACATAATGAAGGCAAGGGGGACTTCCGGTCAAGATGGCAGCATAGGTAAACGCGGTAGCGCGTCCTCCCACAACCACATCAAAGTTACAACTAAACTACAGAACAACCATCATTCAAAGCTGCCTGAAATCAAGCTGAATGGAAATCCTACAGCTACAAAATTAAAAAAGAACTGCATCGAGACTGGTAGGAGGGGCGGAGGCACAACGGGCTGGTCCCACAGCCACGTGTGGAAGATAAAAATCAGGAGGACACTTCAGCTGGGAAGGTCCTCCCTGAGGACCGAGGCGCCAGGGTTCCAGTGCCAGGAAGAGAAGTCCCCATAACTTCTGGCTGAAAAAACCAGCGGGAACTGAGGCGCAGGGAGGCTGAGGTGGCTGGAGCCCCAGGCAGCTCCCCTTAACGGGCCCGTGCACGGACTTACTGGGACTTGCTCCCTCTAAGCTCAGAGGGGAAGCAGCTTGAGGGGTGCCAGAGACACATAGGGAAGAACTGAGCTGTTTGGTATTGGAGCGAGGGCTGGAGAGGGGGCTTTCTCCTGAAGAGACATGCTATTAGAGGCCTTTGTTCCTTTGGAGAGCCCTTCCCTGGGGCGGCAGACAGAAGCCATATCTGGGTCTCCAGCAACCTGGCTCACACTGTTTGCCCCGCCCTGGTGATTCCGAGGCCCCGCCCCACCCAACTTTCAGGCCCACCCAAATGGTTGCCAGTTGCTTTACCATAGGATTGGCCTGTCTTGGATCCTGCTTCAGGTTTTCCTAAATTCTTTCAAACGAGCAGCATCTGGTCTCAGCTAACTCCATACCTCTCGTTAAGTAATACATAGAAACAAACACAGGGAGGCAGCCAAAATGAGGAGACAAAGAAACAGGTCCCAAATAAAAGAACACAACAAAACTCCAGGAAAAGAACTAAGAGAAATGGAGATAAGTAACCTAACAGATGCTGAGTTCAAAATATTGCTTAGAAGGATGGTCAATGAACTTAGTGAGAACCTCAGCAAACTTAGTGAGGGCCTCAAGAGCATAAAAAAGGACCAGTTAGAAATGAAGGATAGCCCTGGCCAGTTTGGCTCAGCAGTTGAAGAGTCGGCCTGAGGTCTGGAGAGACCTGGGTTCGGTCCCCGCTAGGGGCACGTGCTTTGGTTGTGGCTTGTCCCCGGCCCTGGTTGGTCGTGCGGGTGGCAGCCGCTCGATGTGTCCCTTTCACGTCAATGTTTCTTTCTCTCTCCCTCTCCCTCTCCCACTCTGTCTGAACAAAATATCAAAAAAGAAAAAAGAAAAAGAAATGAAGGATGCACAGTCAGAAATGAAGGAGGCACTAACTGAAATAAAGAATAATTTACACAGATTCAATTGTAGAGTAGGTAAAGCCAAAAAGCAAACCATCGAATTGGAAGGAAGCAAAAAACACCCAATCAGAACAGCAAAAAGAAGAAAGAATCCCAAAAAATAAGGATAGTGTAAGGAGCCTCTGGGACAACTTCAAACATGCCAACATTTGCATCTTGGGGGTGCCCGAAGATGAGAAAAAACAAGAAATCGAAAACCTGTTTGAAACAATAATGGCAGAAAATTTCCCTAACTTGGTGAAGGAAACAGACATACATGTCCAGGAAGCACAGAGAGTCCCAAACAAGATGCAGCCCAAGAGGCCCACACCAAGACATAACATCATCAAAATGCAAAAGGTTCAAGACAAAGAGAAAATCTTAAAAGCAGCAAGAGAAAAGCAGTTAGTTACCTACAAGGGAGCCCCCTTAAGACTGTCAGCTGATTTCTCAAAAGAAACTTTGCAGGCCAGAAGGGAGAGGCAAGAAATATTCAGAGTGATGAAAAGCAAGAACCTACAACCAAGATTACTCTATCCTGCAAAGCTGTCATTTAGAATCGATGGCCATATAAACAGTTTCCCTGACAAGAAAAAGCTAAAGGAGTTCATCACCACCAAACCGTTATTATATGAAATGTTGAAGGGTCTTCTTGAAGAAAAAAATTAAAAATATGAACAAACAAAATGGCAGTGAATACATGTGTATCAACAATTGAATCTACAAACAAAATGAACAAGCAGAACAGAAACATTCTCATAGATACAGAGAACATTTTGTTGGTTGCCAGATGGGAGGGGTGTTGGGGAAAGGTGAAGGGATTAAGAAGTTTAAATTGGTTGCTAGACTGACAAACCGAAAAAGGAAGGGGGTTGGGGGGTGGGAAGAAATAAACCAAAGTACTCATATGCATATGTGCATAACCAATGGACACAGACAACACTGTGGGCAAAGGCAGGAGAGGGATGGGAATGGGGAGGAGGGGAAAAATGAGGAACATCTGTAATACATTCAACAATAAAGATAAGTTTAAAAAATATAAAAATTATAAAAGAACATAATGAAGTCAAATCATAAATTAATAACTAAAAGACAATGCAGAAAGCTCTAAACATTTGGCAATTAAACAACACACTTCTAAATAAGCTAGCAGTCAAAAAGGAAGACTCAAAGGAAATAAAAAAAAAACAGAGAACCAAATAAAGAGAAAAATATAAATACCAGAAAGTGTGGAAAGCAGTTAAGGCAGTGCTTAGAGGGGAATTTATAGCACTAAAATGCTTACAAGAAATTTCTCAGATCACTAATCTAAGATGCTACCTCAAGAAACTAGAAAAAGAAGAGCAGAATCAATCCAAGGAAAGGAGAAAAGTAAAAGGATGAGAAAGGAAATTAATGAAATTGGAAACAATAGAGAAAAAGTGAAATAAAGGGTTGGTTATTTTTTCACAGTAACATCACTGCAGCCTCCTCCCTGGTGTCTCTGCTGCCACGCTGCCCCCTGCAGTCCATTCCCTGGGCTGCCAGAGTGGTGATTCTCAATCATAGGTCAAAGCATGCGGCGGCATTGCTCAAAATGCCCCAATGGGCCTTGGCCAATGAGGCTTAGAGCGTTGGCTTGTGCACCAAAGGGTCTCGGGTTCAATTCCCAATCAAGAGCACATACCTGGGTTGCAGGTTCAATATCCACCCAGGTCAGGGCTCGAGCAGGAGGCAACCAATCAACATGTCTCTGTCACATCAATATTTGTTTTTCTCTCCCCACCTTCCACTCTCTAAAAATCAAAAGAAATAAATATCCTCAGATGAGGAGTAACCCTACCCCCCAAAAAAAACTCACCGCAATGACTGCCAGCAAGAGAATAAACACCAGTTCTGTACCACTCCTGGCCATACTCTAAACGTCCAAACCCATGGAGGCTCCAGGCTCCACTCCTTGCTCGCTCCCTCCCTCCACTCTAGCCCACTGGACTCCTCACTAGGCCACAGATGTACCAGGAATGGCCCTGCCCCAGAACCTTTGCACCTATCTTTGCTTGGGACACTGTTGTCCAGATATGTGTCTATATTCACTATATACAATGTAGTGATATTCAGCCACCAAAAAAGGAAGGTCTGACACAAGCTACTACATGGATGAACTTTGAGGACACTATGCTGAATGAAATAAGCCAGACACAAAAAGACAAATACTACTATGTGATTCCACTCATATGAGGTCCCCGGAGGAGGGACAGAAAGAAGATGGTAGGTGTCAGGCTGGGGGAGGGGGAGAGGAAGGGAGAATTAGTGTTTAATGAAAATAGTTTGTTTGGGATGATGAAAAAGTTCTAAATATGGGATAGTGTTAATGGTATCGATGGTTGCACAACAATGTGAATGTACTTAATGCCCCTAATATACACTAAAAAGGTTAGGATGGTAAATTTTTTGTTATGTATTATTTTAACACACACCTACAGAGAAAGGCAAATTAGAACAGAGGCTGGCAAATATTTTCTGCAAAAAGCCAAAAAAGTTTTCAGTCTCATTCCCAACTACTCAAATGTGCACTTCCAACACAAAAGGAGCCACAGATAATCAGTGAACAGATGGGTATGGCTATGTCAATAAAACTTTATTTGACAAAACAGCAAAGGACCGAATCTGGCCTGCAGTCTGCTGACCCTGGATGTGGAGCACACCACTGTGTGGATTTGTTTGTTTATGTGTATGTTTATGCTTGTTAATGCACAGAATGTCCCTGGAAGGTCATGGGAACAGTCGTGTCTCCAGAAAGGAGAACTGGTGACCAAGAGACAGAGAGCAGGGAAAATATTCACTGTGTGGCTTTCAGTACCTTCTGGATTTTGGTACATCTGAAGTTCTTACCTATTTGCCAAATCGAAACAAATAAAAGAGAACAAGGCAGGCTGAAATCTCCATCTGGGGCTCAGAGATGGTTCCTGAGCAGGAGCATGAGGGGGTCAGTCTCAGAACGATCACCAGGAGCTGAGCTGAGCAGGAAGTTGGAGTGAAACCCCAGAGGGGAGGCCAGGTGGAGGCACCAGCTGGATTGCCACTCACCCGAGCCTGACGTTGGCGTACAGCTCCCTCACTGTCCGGGTCTCACGCTTCCGCACGATCTCTGCATCATACCAGAAGCCTCGATCCTTCGGGTTATCAGGGTTGTAGTTGACCATGACCTCCTGGCCCACCTCCAGCTCCTGCCATTTGAGGATGTGTCGGGCACGGGCCCGGACGTCCCGTGAGCTCATCTGGACCACACCGTTCTCCGGGTAGCTGGGAGGAAAACCCCATGCTCAGATCCCAGGATTAACACCAGACCACTTTCCCTCCGTGAAGAGAAAAGCAAGGAGGAGAAGGCCACACACGACATAGCTGTTATTCTCATCCCAGCAGCAAGTAAATTCCCCTCTGCTGGTGTCAAAATTACACAGGTACAGAAGACAGGTTTCAATTACAAAAGGTGTTATTTGGGTTGATCCTGTGTCTCCCAAAAACATATGCTGGAAGTCTAACCCTTGGCACCTCGAAATGGAACCTTATTTGGAAATAGGGTCTTTGCAGATGTAATCAAGTTACGATGAAGCCACACTGCCGTAACCCATTATAACTGGTGTCCTTACAAGGGGAAAACAGTGACAGAGACAGAGGAGAATGACACATGAAGGCAGAGACTGAGATTAATGTGGCCACAAGCCAAGGATTGTCGGCCACCACCAGAAGAGCTGGAAGAGGCAGAAAGGATTCTCCCCTACAGGTTTCAAGAAAACCAGTGGCCCAGCTAACACCTTGATTTTGGCCTCCAGAATTGTAAGAATGAACTATCATTATAAGCAACCCAGTCTGTGGTACTTTGTTACAGCAGTCCTAGAAATTGATACAGAAAGAAATCTGGGGAGGGTAAAAAGCTAACTTTTCCCACATGCACGTTTTGAAAATGATTTTTGCAGAGGGACACACATTATTTCATTTATGTAAATATAATGCATTGGACATTAGGACATAATGGGAAGTCATTATTCTAGATACGCAGGAACATTCTGGCAGCCTTATGAAAGGCATAAATTAATTGGGCTGAAAGAAACAAATTCTAGCCCAGAAAGTGTGGCTCAGTGGATTGAGCGTCATCCCATGGACTGAGAGGTCCCAGTTCGATTCCCAGTCAGGGCATATGCCTGGGTTGCGGGTTCAATCGCCAGTAGGGAACATGCAGGAGGCAGTGGATCAATGTCTCTCTCTCACATTGATGTTTCTATCTCTCTTTCCTGTCCCTTCTCTCTAAAAAAAAAAAAATCACTAAAAATATATTTTAAAAAGAAACAAATTCACCCTCGCCGGTTTGGCTCAGCAGTTAGAGCATCGGCCCACAGACCAAAGAGTTCCTGGTTCAGTTCCCACAGAGGGCACATACCTCGGTTGCGGTTTGTCCCTGGCCCCAGTTGGGGTCCTGTGGGTGGCAGCCACTCAGTGTGTCTCTCTCACATCAATGTTTCTTTCTCTCTCTTCCTCCCTCTCCCCCTCTCTATCTGAAGATAAATGCAAAAATGTCCTCGAGTGAGAATTAAAAAAAAAAAAATTCTATCAGAAACAAAGTTAAACCTCAGCTGTGAGGGAACAACCCCAAATCTATCACGAGTGGCTGTATCACCTGGCACCCATTATTTTCACTAGTAAACCAAGAAAAACAAGGGTTGCCAAACTTTTCCTGTAAAGGGCAGGAGTAAATAATTTTGGCTCTGTGAGCTAGAAGTCTCTATCACGAACACTCAGCTGTGCAGCTATCACCAAGAAAGCACTCACAGACAGTATGCAAACAAATGGGAGTTGCTGTCTTTCAATACAGCTTCACTTACAAAAACAGCGGTGGGCCAGATTTGGCCCTCAGGCCTTAGTTTGCATCCCCTAACCAAGAGAATGGGAATCTTGTGTCTACTATAATTCCTTACTCAATTACTTCAGTAATTTGTATGGAGCTAGTAAGCTTAGTATGTGCCAGAAACTTGGGTAGACAGTAGGGACCCAGCAGAGAACCAGATGGAGATCCTGTGCCCCCTGCAATGTGAGCTCCCCGGAAGCAGACATGTTTCCCCTATGTCATGGACTAAACTGCACCTCCCCCAATGTGACTATATTTGCAGATAATAAAGTTAAATGAGGTCATATGGTTGGGTCCCTAATCTGATGGGGTTGGTGTCCTTATCAGAGGAGATACCAGCCCTGGTTGGTTTGGCTCAGCAGTTAGAGTTTCGGCCCTCAGACCAAAGAGTTGCAGGTTCGATTCCGGTTAAGGGCACATACCTCGATTGCAGTTAGATCCCCAGCCCTAGCTGGGGTCCTACAGGAGGCAACCAAGGGAGGCAACCAATCAATGTGTCTCTCTCATGCCAATGTCTCTGTCTCTGTCTCTCTCTCTCAATCCCTCCCTCCCTCCCTCCCTACCACTCTCTCTGAAAAATCAATGGAAAAATATCCTCGGATGAAGATGAAAAAAAAGAGAGAGAGAAGACCCCAGAGCTCTCTCTTTCCATGTGAAAACACAGTGAGAAGCCAGCCAAGAAGACAGTCCTCCCCAGGAAGCAACCCTGCCAATGCTTTGATCTTGGACTTCCAACCTCCAACTGTGAGGAAAGAAATGTCTGCTGGTCAAGCCACCCAACATGCGGTATGCCGGCAGGGCGGCCCAAGCCTAGTAAGACACTCTCTGGGTTCACAGACAATTCCCTGTGCCCAGCATAGGGCCTGACACACAGAGTATGTGCTCAATAAATACTCACACATTCCAGTGAGGGAGAGAGACGATAAACATGTAAGACAGTTTCAGGTGGTACCAGGGATATGTGATATGAATAAAATAGGAAATGGGGGAGGGGATCTGACTAGAAGATCAGAGCACAGTTCTCTGAGGAGACCTGAGGAGGGCTCATCCTAGCTTTGGGTCCCCATGACACTAATCCTCTAGGGGTGGCCTCCTGTGGGGTTTGGGAACATGAGGGTGGGGGCCTCGAATCCTCACCATCATCCCCAAGGCTGTGCCAAACTCCAGGTTCTATATATACAGAGCCAACAGCTCAGGCCCACCTGCCTGCAATGATACTCACTCATCATATTTCACGTGATAAATGACATCTTCTTCCAGGGTGGAACAGGAGGTGGAGCTGCAGGGTTCATCCTGAGATGGTGCCTTCCTCGTCACCCTGACAACCTGGGCCTCAAACCAAGCTCCCATGTTCGTGTCCCGAGCATCGACATACTCATTGACCTGCAAAGGAAAAGGAAACTCTCTCATCCGACCCAGGGAAGGAAATCTGATCAGCAACACCAACAAGGGCCTGTTTTGATTCTTGGCACTGGCTGCTTCAGGCCTGAGACATAAACTCAAACGCCTGAAACAGGGTTTCTCAACTGCAGCACTGTGGATATCTAGGTCACTCTGTGACGGACTATCCTGGGCACTGTGGAGGTGCTGAACAGCATCTCTGGCCCCCACCACTCTATGTCAGCAGTACCCCCAGTTGTGACATCCACAGATGTCCCAAGATGTTGCCAGTGTCCCTGGAAGCAGGATCAGCCCAAGGAGGCCAGAACTGCCCATTTCTCAAGAGAAGCTGAAAATCCATATCATTACATGAAATTTCATGATGGTAGAGGATGGCAGTGAATTCACAATTTTACAGCCACTGCAAAAGCCAGAGCCGACACCCAGGATTCTGCTTTAGGGATCAGGAAAGAAATCTGGAGTAGTGTATGTTTCTGCCAAAGAAACTTCAGGAGGTTTTCATGGCAGGACTGGGAGTGCCCAGCCACAGGGATGGAGGGGAGCTGGCCCAGCCTCATGAGCTTACAGCTGGATGGTAAAGAAGCCAAAGACAGAGGAGTGTGGGGAGTACTGCTTAGGGGTACAGAGACCGGCCAGACCTCAAGCCTTCTGCAGTAGCCTCACCTTGTACAGGCCCAGCTCAGTCTCATCCCATACATCCTCATCCGCTAAGCCTGCCTTCCCGTCCGCCTCCACAGCTGCCTCGCCGCTATTTGAGGACTTGTCCGACTCGCTCTGGCCCAGGCAGCAGCCAGAATCTGTGTCAGAAAGCTCGGAGTCTCTCTCCTTGCTGCTGCTGCTGCTGGGCTGGGGAAGCACAAGGCTCTGCCGAACCAGGAGCTGGATGGTGTCATTCAGGCGAACATCGTAGTCAAAGAGGGTGTGGCCATTCTCCATCTGCAGAGATAACAAGAGAGATCACTCACCTGCCAGACATTCAGTGTGTCTGCTGGGTGCCAGGCAGCATGAACACGTCATGAGCAAAGAACTGAATCTGCTCTCGGATTATGGGACAATAAAACCTGTCCCCTCCTGGGTATGCACACTGACACCCCCTCCCCAGCGTCCCCAGACCCTCTCAAATGAGGACTCCTGGAGTCATACAGTAAATGTCTCTGCGAACACACAATATAACTGTGCTGTGTGCTGTGGACATGCACTGGGTATCAGGGGAGACTTCCTTAGTACCCTATGTTTTACAACTTCTGTTACAGTAAACATGCACTGTCTTTATCACTAGTTCTCAAATGAGGGCAATCCAGCATACAGGGGACACTGGCCACAATGTCTGGGGACATCTATGGTTGTCTCGATGGGGTAGGTAGGACCAGAAATGCTGCCAAACCTCCCACAGTACCGAGGACGGCACCCCACAGACAATGACCTGGCCCCAATGTCAGCAGTGCCCAGGGAGGACACCTAGCCTGCGTGAGCCCAAGAAGACATATATCCCATCATCCACCAGTCTCCTTTGTAAGGCTCTAAGATCAGGTCTTACCCACCCAGGGCAGCTTTCCAGATCCATTAATTCCACCCCTCTCTGTTAACTCCTTTATCCTAATTCCACCCACACTAGACACCTGCTAACAGGACCCTGTGGCCAGCACAGCTCAGAAATCTACACCCCTGGGTGTAATTCGGCAGGTATGAAGGAGTTTTCTGTCTTCTGAGTTGCATCCCAACAGCACAAAAGGCCGAGGAGTTGCCTTTTATTGGAAACTATCCCACTGCACTCCACCAATACCCAACAAGAACCTGCAAGTGCATCTCACTCTATCCAGATGCCACTAAGGCAGGTTAGTGCCCTCGGCAATGTGACACTGGGTGGACCGTTCTCTATGGGGGCCGTCTCAAGCACTGCAAGGTGTTGGGCAGCATCCCTGGCCCCTACCCACAACGCCAGGAGCTCCCACAGTTATGGCAACCACAGATATTTCCAAACTTCCAGTGTCCCCTTGGGGCAGGGGCAGAACAACCTGGTTCAGAAGCAGTGCCCTAAAGAAAAGTGAATAGAGAGGAAAGCATACACAGAAAAATCAACTTTCCCTCCTCTCCAGTTTTTACCAAAAACTGATGTTCCAAAGGGTTGGTTGTCATGAACATGCAAATAGGACTGGGGTCACAGTGGAGGCAAGTTCCACGGTCCAAGGTCGTCACCCTTCAGTCCAGTAGTTATTCTTTCTTCATCACAAACCTGAGAATCTGATGGATGATGACCCCTGTCCCCCAGAAAAATGCATCTGAACACACTACCACTTGCCTAAGCTGTAGAGGCTGCCAGGGTCCCTCTGAAACCCCCTAAATGTCTAGGGCCCCCTCTACCTGCTCACCCAGCACAAAGTGAAAGCCTGTCTGGCACTGCCCAGGTACCACAGGGAGGCCAGAGAGACCTAGATGCGGCACCAGCTCTCCAACAGGGGCAACACAGAACCATGACACCAGGTTAGAAGTAACACGAACGGAAAGGAAGAGACAGGTCAACCTGTGTGCACCCGTTTACAGCAGCCACAGTAGCCTAAGGATGGACACAACCCAAGTGTCCCCTGATGGGTGAATGGATAAACACAATATGCGTAGCCACACTCTGGAATATTATTCAGCCATGAAAAGGAGTGAAGCGTTGACACTCGCTATAACATGAATGAAACCTTGAAAACATGATGCTCAAAAGGCCACATAGTGTGAGATTCCATTTATATAAAATATCCAGAACAGGCAAATCCACAGAGACAGGAAGTGAGTCAATGGTCGTCAGGGGCTAGGGGAGAAAGATGGAGAATAGGGCAGTGATAGCTAAAAGGTACTTTCTTTTGGATGAAAATGTCTTAAAATTTACTGGGGTGGCGGTTACAAATCACTGTAAATATAGAGCAGAATATTGAACTACATATTTTACTTATTTATTTTTCTTTATTAATTTGAGAGAGAGAGGAAGGGAGAGGAAGAGAGAGAAAGAAACATCGATGAGAGAGAACACTGATTGGCCGCCTCCTGCATGGCCCACACTGGGGATCAGACCCACAACCTGGGCTTGTGCCCTGACCAGGAATCAAACTGGTGACCTCTTGGTGCATGGGTCGATGCTCAACCACTGAGCCACACTGGCCGGGCTGAATCGCATATTTTAAAGGGATAAATTGTATGGTATCAGCTCAATCTCAATAAAGCTACTTAAAAAAAAGGCCCTGGCCATCGTGACTCAGTTGGTTGAGCGTCTTCCCATGCACCGAAAGGTCACCAGTTTGATTCCTGGTCAGGGCACATGCCCAGGTTGCAGGTTCAATCCCTGGTCTGGGTGAGTACAAGAGGCAACCAATCGATATTTGTCTCACATCAGTGTTTCCCTCTCTCTCTCCCTCTCCCTTCCTCTCGCTCTAAAATCAATAGAAATATTTTTTTAAATAAGAAAAGAAGCCCTGGCCGGTTTGGCTCAGCAGTGAAAGTGTCAGCCAGCAGACCAATGAGTCGCGGGTTCGATTCTGCCCAAGGGCACATACCTCAGTTATGGTTCATCCCTGGCTCTGGTCAGGGTCATGCAGAAGGCAACCAGTCGATGTGTCCCTCTCACATGGATGTTTCCCTCTCTCTCTCTCCCCCTTCTCACTCTACCTGAAGATATTTGAGAAAATATCCTCGGGAGGGGATTTTAAAAAAGGCTCAGTGGTTAGAGCATCAGCCTGTGGACCAAGGAGTCGCAGGTTTGATTCCAGTCAAGGGCATGTACCTCGATTGTGGTTCGTCCCTAGCCCTGGTCGGGATCATGCAGGAGGCAACCAGTCAATGTGTCTCTATCACATCAATGTTTCTTTCTCCCCCACCCACTCTGTCTCTATCTCTGTCTCTGTCTCTGTCTCTCTCCTTCCCTCCCTCCCACTCTATCTGAAGATAAACAGAAAAACGTCCTCGGGTGAGGATTTTTTAAAAAAAGGAAAGAAGGCTACATATATGTAATTCCAACTACAGATGGTCCTCGACTTACGATGGTTCAACTTGTGGTTTTTCCACTTTCTTCTAACCACTGAGCCAAACCAGCCATGGCTGAGTTTTTCACTTTTTGATGGTACGAAAGCATTACGCATTCAGTAGCAGCCGTACTTTGAATTCTGAGTTAGGATCTTGTCCCAGGCTGGTGTATGGAGTCCTATCCCTCCCATGCTGCGGGTAGTGGCAGTGAGAGGCTTCTGCCCAACCGACGGCTAACGTAAGTGTTCTGTTCACGACAGGCTGCGCTAAACTGTGATGCTTGGTAAGTCAGAGGTATTAAATACATTTTTGACTTAAAATATTTTCAACCTAGGATAAGTTTGTCGGGATGTAACCCATCGTATGTCAGAGAACATCTGTATATGACATTTTGGAAAAGGCAAGACTATGGAGACAGTAAAAGGATCAGCAGTTGCTAAGAGGTGGAGGAAGGAAGATAAATAAGTGCGGCAAAAAATATTTTTAAAGGCAATGAAACTACTGTGTGTGTGTAGTTTCCAAACCCATGGACTGTATGACACCAAGCATGAATCCCAATGGAACCTATGGACTCTGGGTGACTATGAGGTGTTGATATAGGTTCACCAGTTCTAACGAATGCACGACAGTGGGCTGTGGTGAGTATATGGGAAATCTCCAAACCTGCCTCTTTATTTTGCTGAGAAGGTAAGATTGATCTCAAAAATAAAGTTTATTAATTTTAAAAAAAGATGGAGAGGGACAAATGTCCCCAGTTTAACTGTGACAAGGAAACCAGCAGAGGGCAAGCCAAATGGCCATAAAAAGGATAAACAAGACATTCGCACCTGGGGCCCAGCACTTCCCCTCATTCGGCCAGCTCATTCTCTGTGGGGGGCCACCCTGGGCACTTCTGAGCACTGAACAGCATCCCTGGCCTCTACCCACACCTAATGCCACGAGCACCCCCACTCATGACAACTCCAGATGTCCCCAGACATGGCCCAGTGTCTCCTGGGGGGAGATGCCCCCAAGTGAGAACCAGTAAGCTAGAGAGACCCTCACATGTGCTTGAGAAACACGGACACTACTGTTCCTTCCTGGTACATTCACAGAAGCATTATCTGCAAGCAAAACTGTGGCTTATTCACCTGGCTGGTTTGGCTCAGCAATTAGTGTGTCAGCCTGCAGACCAAAGGGTCACGGGTTTGATACCTGGTCAAGGGCACTGGGTTGCAGGTTCGATCCCTGGTCAGGGTCATGAGGGAGGCAAACAATCAGTGTCTAATACCGAGGTTTCTCTCTCTCTCCCTCCCTTCCACTCTATCTAAGAATTAATAGAAAAATACCCTCGGGTAAGGATTAGCATAAACAAAACTGTGGCTTATTCATACAAAAGAATATTACACAATTGTGAGTGACAGTGAAATGCAGCGAAGTAGATGTGTCTCACACACACATCAAGGGAAATGCAAACTTCAGAGGACGAGAAAATCCTAGCCACGCGGACAACAAAGAGGCAGTGGAAGAGCTGAGCCAGAAGGGAACACATGATCAGATTTCTGTTTCACAAAGAGCACCGGACAGAGGCCGAGTTGGAGAAAAGAGAGGCCAAGCTGGGAGGAAGAGGTAAGAGAAGAGGTAGAATGCACCAGAATGGCCACTGGGGAGGCAGAAGAGGGGTGGAAAGTGCCACATAGACACTGAGGCAGAGGGGATCCTGATTTGGGCTCAGCATCCATGCCACTCTTCTCTCGTGTTATTTTTCTACTGACAACACCTCCCACCAGTTGAGCCTCTTGCTGGGCCTGAGCTGACCCCTCACCTCCATGACAGTTAGGAAGCCAGGCTGACAGAAGCCTACCAAATTGCTCAGGGCCTGGGTTCCGTGGAGGTGACACGCCTGCCCATGCAAGGGTGCAGGCAGAGGCAGGATGTGGGCAGGAAAGGGGACA